TTGATACGTAAGCCCCCTTTACTGAAGGGTCGAATCATAAACAAAAATGTATGTTCTTAAAGGGTTTGCAAGCAAGCAGTAGATATACGTAAAAACTTTTTTAAAAACACCTTTTCAAACAGGTTTAAACTTACCTGTGTCTTCGCCGCGCGCTCCTGTCCGAACATCTGAAGAGTCTTGGGCGGCCGCAAAGGATCTTGGGGCGGGTGCATGTGCAGTTCAGATGTTTGGCCGGGAGACGAGGAGAGATACAAGGTAAGTCCATGGAGCAGCGTGCACCCGTCTTATCCGCCAGTCAGCGCTGGTGGATCGGAGCGGGGAGGGGGCAATCCAGCCCCTCCCCTGTCACGACAGAGAGCCATGACAGGATCGAGAGGTGAGCGAACGCCGGTATGTGTTCGCTCACCTCCCGATCTACTGAGCCGACCTGTGACAGTCTCATTGTCACAGGTCGGCTAAATCTATGAGGTGAGTGAAAAGCACTCACCTCATAGTTCTCCTTTAAAAGGAAACTAATGCAGCCACCACATTTTAGAACTGGTAATCTGCAATATAATAGTTTGCTTTCGGATCTAGATACGCTTTAATTTAGCTTTGAGCATCAATATTTCTGCACTCCAGAATGTCTTGTTTAATCCCAGCCTCTAAAAAAATATCTTCTCCCCTCCAGATTCCAGATGAGATAAGAAAAGAGAGAGCTCAGGTTTCCTCTGTCCACCTCCATAATTATTTGGTTGGGAACTGAAGGGATCCTAGCCAAGGGATCTATTTTGTGGGTGGAGAGAATGCTGGGAGAAGATAACACAGGGTTTTCTATATATCCAATCATTTAAAACCATTTGGAAAATAGCAATACCACAGCAAACTAAAAGGTTCAACAACACTAATACATTTTGAAATAGGAATTAAAATGTTTCTCCTAACAGTGATACAATTAAAAATGAATCTGTCCAGTGCTGACCCTACAAAAAGCCCAAGGTCAACACCAGTGATGAGTGAATCAGAAGATGTGCTTAATTGCCAATTTTTGATTTGCTTGAATATCTGCATGCTGATGTGTGGATATTTACACAATTCAAGAATTCAGGGAATTATGTTCTCTCCAAGTGTTCTATGATTCTATGCAGGTTGGACAAATCTGTTTGCATATATAATCATTAGGGGACTAATATTTTTTTTAATTCTTTTTCCAAATTTGCAAGGGTACAGAGATCAATGAGGACAACAGATTACGCAAATGCCCATAGATACATAATTACATATTACTGTTGGCTTTCGGACCCCAATGTTCTAAATTCCCTTAGCTGCTCCCATTCCCCTGCATATTCTGCGTACTCACTCCTGGATCCACAAATCTCTTGTATCATTCTAGGCAAAAGAGAGCGCCGTCAGGTCCAGGGTTTCAGAAGGGAGCACCAAGCCCAGAGAAGGGAGGCAAAAGATATGAGCCCATCTTCCGGAGTGGCAAACAAAAGAATGACAAATAGATAAAAGAAAGGGGGGAGGGAAGGTTGAGTAATAATTTGCCTAATGCTGGTCAGCAGTATGGCCAACATATAAAATAATGCTTCCTACTTTTAATTTTAAGCCAGTATTTACTTAAATTGAATGTTTTGCATATGGTACCACTTATTAACACGTAATGCATTTACAAAACATGAGCATTGCAATGATGAACGAATATTTACGAAACAATTCACAAGGAACTGCTTCATATATTCATGTTCTTCAGTAAATCAAGCCCAATGTGTACACAGTGATTCTAATATGCAGCTGTGTATTGCACAAAGCATTGCATCACAACAAGTATTCAAAATTAGTCATGTGACATTAATAATAGGACAACACTCTAAAAAAGGAGTTCTGGTACTATTTTATAAGTATTTCTTTTGCAGACTAATAAATATGCATATATTCTAGCTACCTTTTGACTAATACCAAGTTGTATCATCCAATTTCTTGGAACTCTATAAAATAATGATCTGCCTGTCTTTCTAGCACCGAGGCTTGTAATAATACATCGTCTAGCCTAGCAGTTTGGCGGTTAATATTCCATACTGGCATTCTACACATTGCCTCCATAAATATTTCAGGATTTGTAATAAAAGGCTCCCAGCGAGTGAAGCAGAAGGTCTAGGAATGCAGTAGTTATCCCAGACATAATAATGGACCGGACATTTCAAACATTGCATGCAAAGAGGCTGAAACTGTTGTGATTTGTAATCCTCTAATTCTAGTGGACAATTGAATTTTATGATGGAATTCAAGTAGGAGCGAGAGAAACAGGGACCATATGTGATCTGTAGCTTCAAAGCAGGTAGCCAAATGGTAAGGCTAGACAGGTCTGGTTCTATGTGTCTGCCATGTCTTTTAGCATTCCTGTTAATCACAGATCTTTGAGTCCCTGCTCCACAGGACTTTGTAAAGTTATCGAGCATCAAGTATGACAAGGTATTTCTCAGACTTCCTGAGACACAGAAGGGTACATTACACTAACATGGTTGTGTATTTTCTATGAGACCTGCATGGGGGTGATTACAATCATATACAAATCAGTCTGTTTTCTTGGTTTGATATAGCTACATAGTTTAAGTTTATGTGTGTGCTTGAGCTTAAGTTCATCTTTGGAGTCTAGAATATTAGGCACAAAAATATGTGTTGGCTTAAAGAGGTACTTAGTTCAACATAATGGTATATAAAGATTGTTTTTGTACTTGGCAGTGTAGTAAAATATGAACACATTACAAAACTACCCAAGGGAAACCCTACCTTGGTGGAGCTTACATTTGGATGGCATGATGAAAAAACTTGACAGAAGTTCTAATCCTTCTCTACTCAACAAAATAAATGTGATTTTGTCTTCTTTGCAAAGCTCTTTGCTCATTTTTCTGTCCCAGTGACAGGTGATAAGGGATTGACAGAGTTCACCCCAACATGAACATAGACAGCAACAGGAGCTTGGCAGAGATGCTAACTTTTCCTTACTCTGTCCAGCAATCAAAAAACATTTGGGCATTATTTAGACATTAATTGGCTTATGAAGAAAGCAATAAGCCAGTTTGCCTTTCTATTTTCCAAAATGAAAAATTGTCCTAGTCCATGCAATAAAATAGCTTATTGGAATATACTCGCGTGCATGCCGAGCACAGGAATTGACATTAGCCTGTGTGTTGTTATTGGATCTACAAAGGGATTCTGCTAGTTAAATTGGAACAGTGTTTTTGCCAAAGCCGAGTTGAAAAACCTTCCTTAAAGCAAGTTCATAAACTGCTAATGAAAATTCCTGTTGGCTTTGTAGGGTCAGCTAAGTATCTCCATATCGGTGAGGAGACGGACGGAGTGGATATGCAAGCAGAAGTTGGCCTTCTCAGTAGGAATGTCATAATTCTTGGAGAAATGGAGGACACTTGTTACAACAGTGATGTGTGTAAATACTTCAGCTTTGATACTTTTGGTGGTCACCTCAAGGTATGTGCACTCTGTTATAATGGGATAGCTTACAAACCAAGCAGTGATGTTTAAGGAACTGTGGTTCTCATTGCAAAACAAAAGCATTAACCAATCAGATGTGTATGCTTTTCTTTAAAAAATAGCTGACAACAGTCTGCCTATAATCATAGGAAAGGAATTACAAAACTAGCCCAGGGGAAGCCCGCCTTCCCTACATTAAGGGAACTTACAGTTGGATGGCATGATGAAAAAACTTGACAGAAGTTCTTTTCCTTCTCCACTCTCCACTGTTTGTGTCTGCTCCTGGCCTGCTGACTTGATAATGAAGGAGCAGCAGTACATTGATGAGGTTGCCCCTTGTTGAGGTACTGTAAGGAGGCTCCCGTATGAAATGCTCTAAATGCAGGCCCTCACTCTCTGAATCTGACTTCTGGTTGCAGAAAACCAAAACTGTGACAAACAGTAAGGCTGCTATTGCCAACCATTCTAAAAATGCTAGCTTTCTGGCTGAAATGCTGATTCAGGAACTGGTTCAAGCAATAGATTGGGAATTCCTTTTGCTAGATACTTGTTTCAGGGGTAAATGTTTTTTTTACCATGGTCTTCTCATGGATTAGTGCACATGTCACATAAGCAGTTTTGTAGCAGTGATGTGTATCAGATGATTGCGACTAACAGATTATGTAGATTGGAGCAACATTCACCATATATATTCCCAGATAATTTTTGTACTAATCATTCTAAATTGAGAAAGCTGGTCGGATGACCAGTAAAACGTCTTCAAGAAAAATACAGCAAGTCCAGTTGCCTTGACTTATTTTTAACAGATATTTATTCTATGAGGATCCACTTAAAGTCTGAATGACAGTGCTGTGAATATTGAGATCTTTTAAGAATTCAATTATGTTTGTTTCTTTTTGCTGACAATAAAAAGTGTTCTAATTGTAAGTTGTGATTTCAGGTTGGAAGAGGCTTTAAATCTGTTCATTTGGAAGGAATAGAGCTGAAGCACATGGGACAACAAACAATGGGACATTACCCAATTCATTTCCACACTACTGGTGATGTGGACGAAAAGGGTGGACACTACCCACCCACCTATGTGAAAGACATCTCAATTCACCATTCATTCTCTCGCTGTGTCACTGTCCATGGCACCAACGGTTTGCTGGTAGGAATTGTCAATCTCTTTATAACATGTCATCATTTTATATTATTAACCAATTTTAAACAAGCTGTGCAAAACAATCTGGTGTATTAATGTAAAAGGAGACTATTATTTTTAGTTGCTAATGCCTGTTTTATTCCTTTTTGCTGTGATAATTCCCAAATTCTCCTAATATGCACTTACCCATGTTGTAATAATCCATTTCTGTGGTTTTAAATTTATTTTCAACATTTATTATCCTTAACGGCAAAGAAAACACAGAGAAGAGCGCCCAACCCTGTGCAGTACTGATTTATTAGTATAAAAGTTATAAAAACAATATTAGGCTGCTCACAATTGTAGCAATGTAAAAGCTGAACAGACATCGGGAATGAATAGCTGTCAATCCAAACGAGTCCAGACAAACTCGCACAATCCCCGGTCGGTGTATCACAGACACTAGCAGAGGTTGTGGCTGTAGTGGTTGACGTGTTTCCATGGCCCCCTTCATCAGAACCTGCATGTGCAGAGCTAGCTGGCTGAATAAGACTGAGTGGCAGCCAAACAGATAGCTAGCAGCCCAGAAGCCACTATTGGAGGGGAAGGGGCCAATCACTGATGAGAAAAAACGATCATACGAACAACCCCCTACACACTATGCGGTTGAATTTAACAAACTCAATCCACTCATCATTGGTACATATGATCATATGTACCAATGATGAGTGGATTGAGTTTGTTAGGATTGTTGACTGTGAAAGCACAGGGACTGAGAAAGCTTTTCCATAAACTAAAGCCAATCCATCCATTTTTGCTTAAATAAACTGTGTAGAAAAAGTGTGTTCTGCCCATAATCCGGTCCCCTTGTATATTGGGAGGAAAATGGTTTAAAACGTGAGACCCCTTTTGACTTAGAATTCTACTAAAATAATAGTTATGGAATATAATTTTTGTTGAGCGTTGGGCTTGTTGGGGTCTAATTAAGTGTAGACAGTGCAGTAATTCTGGTCCTTTTTGCTTAGGTAAAGGACGTGGTTGGTTACGACACAATTGGCCACTGTTTTTTCACGGAAGATGGTCCTGAAGAACGTAATACATTTGACCACTGTCTAGGACTTCTTATCAAAGCAGGAACTCTACTACCTTCTGACAGAGACAGTAAAATGTGCAGAACTATTACTGAAGGCTCCTTCCCAGGATATATGGCTAAACCTAGACAAGACTGCAAGTATGTACTAAGACTGCTATAAAAACATGTACACAGATAGCAAAATCTGGTTGTGGTGGGTGCAACAGATTTTTATGATCATTATTGGTTTCTTGCATATACCAGATCAATCAGGGTTCCTCCAGAGAATGCTAGGGGTTTCTTGAGGAGTGGGCAGTGGTGGATTGATCTTTTGTCTACACTGTCTACCAATATAGGGGACCAAATTTCACTGACCACAAATGTAAGGGGTCACTTTTAGACTGTCCACCAATGTACAGAGGTCCAACTTTGATCACAAATTTAAGGATGCATTCATCTACTGAACGCCAATGAAAAGACACATATCTCCACTGACCACTAATGTAATGTTGCACCACAATTTTCACCATATTTCTTTTTTTGGCCATTGGTATTTTTTGTTTAATTTCATGATTGTTACTAATAATAATTGTGCTGTATAAAGTAGTGTTAGAAATGATGATGCCCCGGATTTCAAATAATCTATGAACATCACATTCTTTACTAATATCATAATTTTTAGCAGGGATTTCCTGAAACCTGAAAATAATTAAAGGGCTCCTCTGGGGTAAAGAAGTTAAGAAGGCATATATTACAATTATTGACATTACTATATAATATGGTTGAAAATATATTATATTCCTCAAGTTTCACCTTTCTAAATACAGGTGTTGTTAGGGATTCCAGAAAATGAAATGGAATTAGAATCTTTTTACAGTGGTTTAATGGAAAAGCTATATGAGTTTTTTGGGCACTTATATGACGTGACCGACTGGATGTTTTTTCAGCATTTCAGTTCGCTAACACAGAGATAGTGATCTTACAATTAAAGTGACTACGGGCAAAATACAAAATTATATATGTGATGATGAGATATATGCAATTTTATTTCTCCTATAGTTAAATTTTTAGTGGAAAAAATGTATTAATGTCAGCATAAGAAAATGAAATGGCGGATTAATTCCTTTTTGTTTTTAAAGGAGAACTATGGGGTTAAGGCTTTTCTCCATAGTTCTCCTTAGGGTAACGGGAGGACACAAACTAGCGTCCTCCTGTCACCCTAGGCTCAGTATACCGCGAGCTGTAGCTCACGGTAGCTGTAGCTCGCGGTATACTAAGACGCCGCAGCTGAAGCGGATCCCGACAATTATGTCTGGATCCGCCCAGCTGCGTGACTGACAACTGGCTCTGCCTCCCCCGTCCGTCAGCGCTGGCGGAATCGGAGCGGGGAATCCAGCCCCTTCCCTGTCACGGCAGAAAGCCGTGACAGGATCGAGAGGTGAGCGAACGCCGGTATGTGTTCACTCACCTCCCGATCTACTGAGCCGACCTTTGACAGTCTCATTGTCACAGGTCGGCTAGAACTATGAGGTGAGTAAAAAGCACTCACCTCGTAGTCCTCCTTTAAAGAAAACTTTTAAATACTTTACAATGATGGTTTATGGTTATTTGTTAGTTGTGTCATCGCTTGTACATGGGGTCAGAGAATTAGATATTAAGACTTTTTACCAGCAGAAAGGTCTTCTAGCAGACAAAATATTTGTACTGATCGCACTAGATCCTGTATTTATGCAATGTTATTTTATCTTTATCTTTAGTGCTGTTTCTACATTCTGGATAGCCAATCCCAACAACAATCTCATCAACTGCTCTGCTGCTGGCTCCGAAGTAAGTACTTCAGAGAGGGCCTTGGGATTTTTTTTGTCAGGCCAGTTTAACCATACAATGGAATACAAAGGCTCTATTCCCAGAGTACATTTAAAGTGGCTATAAATTATTGGTGCATCTGGAAGAGTTTATAAGTTACCTTACACTTGGAATCCAGTACAAGCTCTTGCTGAGCTTTGTTCACTGAAGCATGTTAAATAATTAGAGGCTCCATTAAACTTACTAATTCTCACCTTGATATTCTGGCCAGGGCAGATTTTATTTTATGACCATTGAAAAGATATAAATGCCTCACATAGACCTAAAAGACATAAAAAATGAAATATCAGAGAAGTCATAATCCAGCACATTCTTTGTAACATTAAATAATCACTGCTGGAGAATCTTAGTAGAACGTCTAGTGTGGTTTATTCATATGGTAAATGATAGGTTTAACAATATAACTGAGGTAAAGAATAATACTAAGAAGAAATGTTTCATATATTTGGGTTAAAGAATAACATGATCCCATATTTAAAGAGATTTGTTTGAAGAGTATTTGACATTTTGATTTATTTTTCCCAGGAAACAGGATTTTGGTTCATCTTTCACCACATACCAACAGGGCCTTCTGAGGGTTTGTACGCTCCGGGACGTTCTGAGCACACTCCCTTGGGAATATTCAATAATAATCGAGCACACTCCAACTACAGGGTGGGTTTGACTTCATAGATTATATTTTCTTTTTTTTGAAGGTTCAGTTTAAAAAACATCTTAGTTGTATTAAGTGAAGGATGTATGTATGTATGTATGTGTACACTGTTCTTTGAAATCTGTATGTTGAGTTTTTATATTAATATGTGGGTTTGCAACTGTCCATGCCCACAATGATACTATACCTATCTTATCTATAGTGGTGTCACAAATATACAGTACATTACAACTAGGCTATACCAAGAAAGATTGGTGGAAGAGCAGTCGGCTGAGTGTTAAAATTGCATTTCAAACAATAATGAGTACTGAATGATAATAATGAGTACTGAACGCAGACTTGCTAATACTTTGACACAAGTAGACGTAATAACAAGAGAAAACTGTATGTGCTTATTTTTTTTATTTTTTTTTATAATATGTATTATGCTTATTTATTAATGTATTTATAGAAGACAAATACAATAGAAAAATAATGATATATCTTAAAAATAAGTAGAATTTGATTCAGGGAAATACCCTTCAATGTCTTGGCCCCTAGTAGAACTTGTTTTTAATCTCCCATTTGTTTGAACAGGCTGGAATGATAATTGATAATGGAGTAAAAACCACGGAAGCCAATGATAAGGATAAGAGGCCGATCTTTACATTGATTGGAGCACGGTAAATTACAACTTGTGTGTTTGAATAAGAAGCTTACACTCACTAAAAGTACTCATTTAGAAGACACTTGGTGGTGTCTTTATGTTTCTTTAGATCCTAACAGGTGTTGCAGTTACTGTGAAAACACCCAACAATGTATTGTAGATCATGATTGCACACAGAGAACCTAGCTGATTTTTCCACTAACAGTTTTTCAGTGCTATACCACTATATACTTTAAAAGTATTTAAAGCCAACCTTTTTTGAACAGTTTTGGAGTAAGGAATAGTTAAAACTTCTATCAGGTGTGCTTTATTTATCCTGTGTCCATTGGCTAGATTTCCCTTCACTTTCTGTCCCGAGAAACAACAGTAAGTGAGAGGAAATTACTTCTTAGACAGTTCGCACAGAAAAAATACTCCGAATGGAAGATTCCCCTTCACCACCTATTTCAGACACAACTTTAAAATTTTGGATTTCCAATCACTTCCTGTCTTGGTGACAATTAACAATCTCTCCCTAGCAAGTACACAGATACCAATAAAAACCTGACAGGTTCTAACCCTTTCCTGATTGTTTTTTTTGGCTTTAGATACACTTTACCAGCAGGTTGGAAGAGACATATACTATTGCACATTACATTAATGCCTTTAACATTCTGAACACCAAGCACCATTTTATGGTTGTGGGTTGTATTTTTAAATGGCAGACTATTGGTGTTGCAGGTGTATTCATTGAAGATGTATTAACTTGTAGCATGCAACTGTTTATGTACCTCTATGATTCTTCAGCAGCTGGAGCATTTGCAAATATCTGGTCATCATCTTAAAACAATGACCAGCTTAAAGTGTATCTAAGTCCAAAAGCAACAATTTCATATTTTGCATCTTACCAATCTTTAAAGTCAGAGGCTAATTAGTGACCTCAGGGTCAAAAAAAGCATTCAAGTACCTCAACTATTAACAAAAATATATCTTTTTTGTGTATCACTCAACACTGACACTGTCCTTCCTTCTGGAGGGTGGCCATGATGGGCTGCAATCTCAATAGAAATTAGTACACTGAACGTGAGATTGTAGTCCATCACGAGAGCAAGCTCGGAGCTGTGGCTACTTTACAACACACACAAGGACCGTGGGGAACAAAAGTAGCCGCCCTCCAGAAGGAAGGACAGTGTCAGCACCAATTCAATGATGATAAGAATATCCAAAACCTAATGATAGGCATATTTAAGATTTAACTCCTGAGTTTAAATGTGATAGCTGCATACGTTTTCTCTTTTACACTTTTTCTTCTTCAATATGTTTTATTAAGTTTTTGTGGAATACAAGGCAAGCAAATGACACATAGTTACAGCTGTGTAAGGGAAGAACGTGTCGCCTACACATTAGGCGGCATATCACAATGTACATAACCAATAGGGTGGGAGGGGGGTGTGTGTGGAATAAAGTTGGGGGGGGGAGTCTCTTTTACACCTTTTTTTTCCTTTATTTTCACCTGCTGGCGCTATATAAATAATTGTAATTGCATTGATTTGACTAGTAAAGGTGGTGATACACTAGTCAATTTCCTAAAGAATTTTGTACGAAAGATTTTTTGTTTGACTTTCTATTAGTTGATGGGGTCAAATCAGTCATCGATTTCGACCATAGTGATGAAAAAAGTTGAAGGAGCAGGATGGAAAGTTTTTATCTGACAAACAAAAACGGTGAATGTGGTTTTCGTTCGGGAAACTCCATTCATTCCAAAATCGAATATTAAAATAAAACAAAAGTTTGTTCGACATTCGTCAAGTCTCTGATGGCATTATCGGGTGGTAAAGAAAGATCTTTTGTTAGTAAAGAAAGATCGTTTGTTCGGGAAATCTACTAGCATATGGCCAGCTTTAGTCTGTTATTTTTAAACTTCCTTTAACAGACCAAGCTGCCAACAAAAGTGGTAGTTAGGGGGTTGAAACAACCATTTACCACTAACAGGGGTGTTTACAATGGTCAGCTTTTATTTAAATATGTTAAAAAGAAACCTGTTACTGTAAATCTGAATAATCTGCTAGTTCATCTCATATGACACTACCACTCCACAGGGTGACAATGCTGCTGTCCAAGGGTGGCTCCGTTGCTCCTCCATAGATTGGAGCCATCCTAGACAGGAAGTATTACTGGCTGTATCACCAGGTGAAAACAAAAGGAAAAAAATGCCTAAAAAAGGAAAACAATGCAACTACCATAGTTAAGGATTAGTAAGATGCAATGTATTCATATTTTGTCTTTGGGTTTATGATAGATAGATAGATAGATAGATAGATAGATAGATAGATAGATAGACTTGTAAAATTTGAGGAACTATTAGAAAGCCCACAAAGTAGCGGTCTTTAAAACACAGTTTGCACGATATCATCACTGAAAGCATTAATCCAGTCTGATTTTTTGGGTTTGCACTACAACAATAAAACTTTTATTAAAAATACATGAATCATTTCAGATCATACATTCTATGACTTTTCCCTTGCACATGAAGTCTGTTTAAGCTATTTCCAAATGCTCAACAGGTATGGGCCACATCAGGATGCTGATCCCTTCAAGCCAAGAGTACCTGCAATAATCCAGCATTTTATTGCTTACAAGAACCAGGACCATGGAGCCTGGCTGCGGGGTGGAGATGTTTGGCTGGACAGCTGCCAGTAAGTTTAGAATTTTACAGCGTGTGATATGAAGCCTTTTTGTTTATCGTGCAAGTATTTCAGATAATCGAGTACCCTAACTACTGGCAGATGGTATTTTCTAATAAAGCAAGCAATGTGACATAGGCCAACAGCTGGAAATAGAAAGGTTTTCTGTCATATTATTACTGCTTTAATCATTTTAACCAATCACCTAAAAGAGCATAACACCATTCACAACGCATAAAGAGCTTTCACAATCTTAGATTTAAAAATAATCTGATTCGTTGAAGAGATCATATTTGCAGTAAGGCTACTGTAAGGAAATACTCCTTAGCTTGGAATGTTTTTGAATAAATTTCTAAGCTAATACTAATGTTTTAACAGTCTTTCCACCTCTAGAGATGTATTACATAAGGCAGTGCATAGAGTGAGGCGAGGTCCTAGTGTAGAAGTGTATAGTTTACAATAAATGTTAGTCTTGTCAGAATTGAAATATGTAAGCTGCCATTGCTTTTTTGTGTTTGAAAGTGCAAGATAACTTCTGGTTTTTGTTTTTTTCCCTACAGATTTTCTGATAATGGTATCAGCTTAACTCTAGCCAGGTAGTTATCTTAATATCTTAGCTGTAATAGTTTTATTTGTTTGTTCACTATAATCTTCTAATTGCTTAAATTGTTTTGTTTTTTTTTAGTGGAGGGACCTTTCCTGATGATGATGGATCCAAACAGGAAATTAAAAATAGCTTATTTGTTGGGGAAAGCAACAATGTGGGGACAGAAATGGCAGACAACCTTATATGGGGTCCTGGAGGCATCGATCATAGTGGAAGGACATTACCCAGAGGAGTGTGAGTGTTGAAATAGTGAATGGTTTGTGATTCGGTAGCTACAGTAGAAATGTAGAATGACTAACATTGGCTTGTCTGTATTTAGGAATTTTCCTATTCGGGGTTTACAGATCTACGATGGACCGATCAATGTAGAAAATTGCACATTTCGCAAATATGTCTCCCTGGAGGGAAGACACACCAGCGCAATTGGTTTCCGCCTGAACAACTCCTGGCAAAGCTGTCCCAACAACAATGTGACTAAAATCACATTTGAAGACGTTCCTGTAAGTTCCTTTGCTCATTGAACACAAATATTTTATAATATGCCTATAGCAGCTTGTGAAATTATAGTATTGCACTGTAGACTGTTGCATTGCATCTCCTAAGGTTGTATATTAGAACAAGATTTTAAAGAACATAATTAAAAAAGCACAGTGCATAATCCAAAGTAACCTAATAAAATGCTATTGTCTTTTAGGCACATGAAAGCCTATCATGTTGTGTTCTGTTTTCTTACTATTTTAAATGGAAACTGCATTTGTTTGGGTAAATTGTATTTGTTTTTTTATGTTTGTACATTTTGAAATGGTGTTTATATTTATATTTTTATTCTTTACTTAAAATCTAAAAGTTAAAATATAATTTATTTTATTTTCAAACCCTCTTATTTCACCTATGCATGTAAATCTAAGGTTGCGCTATTGAACTCGTATGCTTTAGCAAAGAAGCTCATAATAAACATGAAAAAGAAGCCAAGAGTATAATAATATAAACAGGAAATATTCATATACTATTGTTAATATCTTAATAGAATTTTTTTATGAAAATGTGTGGGTGCGGATGACTTAACATGAATTAAACCTCTTTAAAACCTCTGTGTGGGGTCACAAAAGAGTTATAAAAACTGGATGACGATGCTGCATGATAGAGTGCCTGGGTTTGTTGCAAACAGTTCACTAGATCCGAGCAGAATGTCAAGTTTTTAGACATTGACTGTACAATTGTGCATAGTGTTTTCTATAGTACCCCCTATAGATATACACTAGGAATATTTTCTTAAAACTGTCTTAAAGTTGCAAAATGTGAGTTTACCTTATGTGTTACATTGAAAACATAATGAAAAAATTGCAATGTGTGTGTCAATTTATAACTCTGACTAGGAGGCATGGGGGCATATGGGCTTCCCAGGAACCAAAGCCTAGCTGTAGATGTAACCTCTCAAGAGTGTAACTAGAAATCCCAAGGCTTCACAGCAGAATTTTAATGGGGTCCCCATTAATGTCAGAGGAATATAATGCACCCCTATATACACCCACTTAACACTGATGATCAGAGGTGGGTGACTCAAAATACATCCCAGTTTTATACCCCCTTAACTTCTCTATGGGCATCTTATATACAGTATACACCTTAACAATGACCAGGCAGTCTGAATGAGTCACTCCACAATCCTTGGATGCTGCTCAGAGACTAAGCTTTCTACTTATGAGTAGATGTTGTGCTGAGCTTATGCTGTTTACCAAAGCAGACGAGCTTCTCCGTTGCGTCGGCTGGAACTAAGCTGATATGGGTGGATGGATTCTAGTGTGATCAATGTACAGAAATGTAGTCTATGGTTCTTAACTGCTGAGACAGTGATCAGAGAGAATTTTCATTGTGAGGCAGAAAGCTATTATAGTAAAAGGGCAATTTTTTTCACAAATTCTTTTCAGATTTGAACTTGGGATGCCCCCTCAACAGCGTACTAGCTGCATTAGCTGCTATGGCTGTAGTTAGGAACTTGTCACCATTGCAACTTATGATCTACATCATTGTGTAAATATACATAATGCAAACACTTTGCACACACATACATAATGTTTTACTATAAAACAGTGCACAGAATAAGGTTTGTTCATCTCTGTTTGCTGCTGTTTTATGAGGGAACAGACATGTGTCAGGTCTGTGACTGATGGAGCCAAATGACAAGGAAGCATTTCTTTGTAAGAGACTGCTGTTGCAGCCAGATCTTCTGGCCAAGTCTGACTGATATTACACAAGCAGGGCCTCTGTCTGATGATATGTCAGGGAATAGTAGACACTGCTACTAAAATCCATTTATACTGTACATCCAGAGCTCATTTATCATTGCTGATGCAATTTTGGGCAAGAATGTTTGCTTAATCTTTAGCAATGAAATTGTTGCATTTTTCTAGTTAAGTGTGCCATAGACACTCTGACCAAGAATATCCTTATTTCTGGTTTGATAAATATGTCTGCCTAGAAAAGTATGTGGTTGTGTAATGCTGTGGATCTTTAACCCCCCTTCCCAAAGTAGGGGGCGCTTACCTATTGTAAAAATGTCACCAAAAATTAATGCTAGAAACAGCTGGAAACATAACCGGTATACACTACATATCAAATTAAACGCAACTGGAATTAATCGTATGGCAATTCCTAAATTTAGTATTTCAAATTTCAGTTTATATCAGTTAAATACATTCCAGGTATATCAAAGTGAAAGATGTTTAAAGTCTTAAAGTTCATCTTCTTTAAAAAGCAGCCACATCCTGAGTAGAAAAGCCTCTCTTCTGCAAGCATGCTGAGAGAAGGATCCTTGGTCTCTTTGGGGAACCAGTGGTCTCTCCACATAGATCCAATACGCCCCTGATGAGTCAGATCTAAAGCTATCCAATCAATCCAATTAGCAGGTAGAATAAGCTAGTAATATGTTTATAAATTGTCTATCATCCTTTCCATTATGTCTCTGCCGGCCTCTGAAATATCTATGCTATCCAATGAAAAATGCTTGCTTGTTATACTATTCTATAAACACAGCAGTATCTATTCTTACACTTACTCCATGCCAGGCAGGAAATGTTTGGTTCATAGTTTAGGTACAATTGACCTTGGTTTACTTTACCTAGAGGAACAAGAGGGGACAAGACATGTAGTAAATGCTGCTTACAGAGCTGATTATATTTTACATCTATTTACACTGATTTACACATCTGCATTGCCAGAACTAAGAGTTTCAGAATGTCTAACTACTAAATTTCCCACCATTTCAGATGTCCTCCAGAGTTTTCTTTGGTGAACCTGGGCCATGGTTTAATCAAATGAATATGGATGGGGACAAGACCACAGTTTTTCAAGATGTGGACGGCTCAGTTTCAGAATATCCAGGGGCATTTTTGGTGAAGGATGATAACTGGCTGTTGAGAAATCCTAGCTGCTTGGATGTACCAGACTGGAAGGGAGCCATCTGCAATGGAAATTTTGCGCAGGTAAGTGTCGCTTTATTCACATACACTGACTTACTTTAAAAAAGTTGTCACTGCTTTGTTTTACATATCACGGTATGAGCTCTTAATAATATTTGACACCTTGCAGATTTACATCCAGGCTCGAAGACCAGCTGATGCTGGAATGGTGATCATTAAAGATGAGTATCCTGATCATCCATTATACTTAGAAGGCGCATTGGGGAAAAGTAACCACTATCAACAATACCAGCCAGTAATCACTTTGCTAAAAGGTTACACAGTGCACTGGGATAAGGCCGCCCCTGAGGAGCTGACTGTTTGGATTATTAACTTCCAAAGGTAGGTCATGATTGTGTCTTGAAAGGTGGTGATCTTAGATGCTCATCATCTAAATTGGGCTCAGAGGGGCATTCATGTTAACATCTGTTCAATAGACCAATATGAAAAAGCAGGACAAACGGAGTTCATGATATAACATGCCCTCATTAAAGCAGCACAAAACCATCCACTTCTGTGCTGTTATGGCTACTTCTCTAATATACTGTTCTCTTGAGACTGTGGCTCAATTCAGACCTCTTTTGCCAGCAGTCCATTAATCACCATTTAATGTTTCTACATTACAAGTAATACATGAAATAAAACTTGAAAGATAAAACATCTAACCTGAAATGCTCTTTTGTGGTGTTATTATTTGTATTCCCGGCACTAGAAAATGATTTCCTTGGGTTAATTGAAATGTTTTGCTAGAACTTCTTGCAATGCGCTTTGAGCCAGGAAAAAATAGCCATCTCAAAATGTAATATTTTTCTTGGCCACTTGATTCCTTAGGAAATTTGATGTCAAGTTCCTATTACTTGTGGTAACACATGATTCTCCTATTTTAGGAATGACTGGATTCAAATAGGATTTTGTTATCCTAAAGGGACAACATTTTCCATCCTCTCAGACATTCACAATCGGCTTACGAAGCAAACATACAAGACAGGAACCTTTGTACGAACCTTCCAAATGGACAAAGTGCACCAAGGTTCCCCCGGCAGGGGATATTATTACTGGGACGAAGAAGCTGGGTATGTGGTCTTACACAAGATGCACAAACAATGCTAAAGCAACAGTGCAGTCAAGCCTAATGCAGTGTTTGCAAATGTGAAGAAATACAAGAAAACCACAGACGTTTGTTAAACTTTCCTCCACCTTCTCTTGAATAGAATGTGGAAAACATAGTTCAAATTGTATTCTAAGAGAGATAATATAAAAATATGAATACAGTATAGAAGCTATTATGGGGGGCTTTGTTTTTTATGACCCCCTTACATAACCCAATAATTCTTTAAAATTGACTTTGTTTTCTTATGATCCACTCACACAACATCATTATTTTTTGTTGTTCACCAAGCCCTACTTCCTACAGGCTTTGGTGCCCATCTTGTGCTGATGAAGGCTACTAACCCAAAAGAACTGAATTGGAGTGAAATGCCTGTATGAGGCTGCGTTACTAAAAGATTTGAGACTGTTTACACAATAAATTGTGTGAAGATTCAGTTCAATTATTTAGTCGTGTGAAAAGAATATCCATGTTTACTTATTTTATTTGCACATGAATGGATAATTCAAGTGAACATTCACACAATTTTTTGTATTAACAATCTCAAATCTTTTAGCAAATCAGCCTCAATGTTTAGCCTTTATGTGAGCTGTAAACCAGTTGTTCTGCATGCACATTTGCCCACAGTTGATCCATAAAGATATAATTTGTTTGGTTGTACCTGTTAGCCTTTATGGAGAACTGAGTACTTTTTATGTGGGATTTTTGGCAGAAGTAATGACATTTAAACACCTTTTTGTTTTAGGACCATACTGCACTTTACTGGATTTTACAAATAACTAATTCTGTTGGAACATTGTCTTACTATGACTGCGCTAAGACAAGCCAATGATGGGCAGATATCTTCCTAAAAATGACGGAAAGGGAGACATCTGACTGCCATTGTGTGACTTGCACAAATGCTGAGATCTGCTGCAATCTTTGTCTGATGCTGACAGTGTGGCACATGTAGTACTTCAATTCTTGCTGTGCAGAAGATTTAAAGAGACACTGTTGGCAGACCATTTATTTTAAAAAAAAAAGTTCCCATAATATTATACATTATGTGCCTTTAACATATTTTAGGCATCTTATTTACCTGTAAAAACCTCAATTGTGTAGACATCAAAAGGCCTGAGACTTCTGCTGGGCACCGCCATCCTAGATGTGATGTCAGCAGGCTCAGAGTTGTCCCTCAAGTGACATTCTATAGTATTCCCTTACATGCTCATCATCTCACAATTACATTAAGGGTTATGTAAAGAGGGGAGGGGTGGAGAAGCTGGGCCAACACAGACAGTAATTAGAAGAGAGCGCTTTCACATGCAAGGAGGGAGGGGGCTGTTCTAGGGAGTTGACTCTCCTGGAGTAGTCAGATTTTCTAGCAAGTTCAAGGTCCATAAAACATAATTTTTTGGAAGGAAAAATGCTGCATGTAAGCATTTATAATATTTGTTTTTTTTTGTTTTTATATTTTTATTTTATTTTATTTTTTTTAAATACTGTTTTCAGCTTTTATGTATCCTTTACCACATATCAGTGCTGCTGATCACCCAGTAGCCTTCTTGCATCCACTTCCTATCTACATGCATGCACTCTAGCAGTTGCTGCACATTAATTCTCAGGGCTAGTTTCCTGACAACAGTGAAACTTGCTTGTACAATGTGCGTTGTCACAGATGCTTGTAGTCTTCTTTGCAAGAACATTTGTCAGGGTCACTTTGCAGGAAAACAGCTGGAAGACAGGCACAGAGCCCTGTTACTCTATAACAGGAGGTGTCTGAACAAGGAATTACATGGCAGGATCACCAAGTATAGTACTTTAGAAATTATTTTAACATATCAAAGTTTATTTGAGACTTTAGTTATTAGATTTACATCTTCCTTATGGAAAAACCTGGCTATATATGGCAGTGTTCCCATATAAACACAAATAACTGTATAATAGAATTATTTATTTGAATAACTAAAACAAATGAGCCATGGAGTATAAGGGCATACATTGATTTTAATTTTAGAGCAATGTTCCGCTACAAGCTTAGGTCATTAAGGATAGTGTATGTATGCAGAAGTCTTTGGTACAAGTGCCTCACTCATGTAGTAAATTTACATTTTGTTTTTGTAGGCTGCTGTTCATTATGTTGAAAAGCCAGAATGAAAAGGATAAATTTGCATTCTGTTCAGTAAAAGGCTGCGAAAGAGTGAAGATCAAAGCCGATATTCCCAAAGGTTCTGGTGTCAGCGACTGCCAGGCTTCGGCCTATCCCAAATATTCCCAAATACCCATAGTGGATGTGCCTCTGCCAAAGAAGCTGCATGGGAATGATTTGGTAAATGACCTTGTTTAAGTTTTATGAGAGTTGGGGTGCGGCCTCTATTTTGTGGTGATACTGTCTAAGGAATTTAGGGAAATCATAAAATGTAAGCTTTGTGTGTAGGAAACGTTTTCACAAATGTTGTTAAACTATTTTTTTAATATGAAAATTCTTATGACCTAGACCCAGATGAATACACATATTACAACTATATTTTATTGGCTTTTAGTTATAAATTAATCATGTTTATGGCTAGGTAAGGCCAAGTTGTTCTTCCACAAGCCACATGACAAGTGGTAAAAAAATTATAGCCAAACTCTGGGAAAAAATGACAATTTATACATTATACTGAATGTGTAAATTATCATTAAAAAGCTGCATGTTATGTGAGGAGGGCCACTGCAAAGTATAAAAACTTACCTTGAAGCATGCCGCCTTCTACACATAATGCCGGGCAACGCGGGGAGTGATGGATGTGATTCGAGCTGTGAATTGCTCCGGTTGCATCACCCGCCTCTCCTCACTACTTAACCATTCACAAAATGTCTTGTATTTTCCTCAACTAATACATGGCATTCTGTGATTGGAGGAGGAGGGGAGATGGCAGGGCTGTGACATCATCTCTGCTCCAATCACAGAACGCCTTTATTCTTTAAATACACGACATTTTATGAATGGGTAAGTAGTGACAAGAGGCAGGGATACGACTGATGCCCTAGACTGCTGGAGTCACATTCCTCTCTCCCTGCAGTGCCTAGAAGCCCAGTGTGTAGGAGCCGGCATGCTGCAAGGTAAGATTTTTATACTTTGCAGCAGTCCTCCACACATCACCCAGCCATGCATTATCATTGTTTCCAGAGTCTGGCTTTAAGTTTGTTGTAAAAAAATAAATACATTTTTGAAAGGTCTTGAATATCATTTGCTGTACATACCAGTGGGTATATTTTCTGTTTTTTTTTACTTTTCATGTATTTCTTCTGCTTAATATGCATATGCACAGGTTAAAGTTTGCAGTTTTTAGTGCACTAAATATAGGTTTTACTGAGTCACCACTGTCACCAGAACAGGGAATGCAAGGAAATAGCCCCATTATAGTCTCAGAGAGAAGTACAAACCTTGTATCTGAATTAAGAAATCAGTTTGGGATGGATTTATACTCTAATTGTCAATAAATTAATATGTGACTGTTACAACTAGAATTGCACATAGCACAACTTACACAGTAGAATCTATCACAGTGGAGGTATATGATGAAGGAAAAGTAACAATAATCTAGTTTGTCCTTTTTAGACATAATTACTTAGTGAACCCTCTGAGGTTTAGGACCTCCTAAAGCCTCATATTCTAACCTTTTTTTTTTTTTACTGGTAAAAATGTCACCTTTACCGGATGCAATACGTTTGTCAACAGATGCTAGCGGAAGGGCACCGAAAAATTATTGGGTGTGAATGGGGCTAGTTCACACCACTCCATTCTGTTGCGTTGTGCTGAAAAACAAGTAGAACATGCACTACTTTTTTTCAGCACAACATAAGGCAACGGATTCGGTGTGAACTAGCCCCATCCACACCCATTCGTTTTTTGGTGCCCTTCCATTAGTATCTGTTGAAAAATGTATCACAATGGGATGGATTGGAAGAAAATCAGATGGTACATATGCAAGTCAACTCACCCTCCGTTGACTTGTGATTTCCTTCTGATTTTGGCGTGGATGAGTTAGAGAGTAGAAAAGGATATAAAGGGAAAAAAACGTGCTGTTTTATTCTGTACAGAATTGAATGGTGAGCACACACCCGCTAAATAAGGGGATAGATGATTGGGTGTCACTATGCTACCCTGAGCAAGGACCTCTGCTACGGTGAGCGTGGCCACCAAAACATTGGATGATCTACCTATGTCATACATTGCGAATAAGTCCAAGCTGATTATTTCACATTCATGGAGTGATGGTGACTTCTCTTCTACTTTTTATTGGGTGTCTGTCTGATCTTATAAGCCAAGGAGCCATTGCCCGCTCTTTTTCCCCTGCTGTTCCAGCCTAGCATTTACATTGATACTTTGTTTCATGTTCCAGTGCTGAGAAATGTTTTTCTTTTTCAGAAGACAAAGGATCACTTACTGGAGATAAAAGTAGAGTCTTACAACACCAGATACTTCCATTTGAAGGATGACTTTGCATACATAGAGGTAATAACCTGCTGCATTCAAACTATTTCAATGAAGAAACCATAGCTTTTAAAAATATACTTATGACAAAAGTAATACGGACACCTGTGTTTTCTGCTCTTCAAGTTACTTAAGATTAGCTAAAATAATATCATTATCGCATTGCAGAAAGATTATATTAAACCCGAATGTCAGTGGATAAAATTTCCTTTTGTAGTAATATTAGATAATAAATACATTATGTGATACCGATTTATTTTCTCCACTATCGCTGACACATCCAAATACTTTTTAATCTCAATCATTTTTATTTACAGGTGGATAATAAGAAGTTTTTCGTGCCAGAAGATGGAATACAAGTGGTTGTGATTGATGGATATCAGGGGAGAGTTGTAGACAATGCAAGCTTTAAATCTGCTGTTCTCCAAGGAATCCCAGCTCAACTTGACAACTATGTGACGAACATTAAAGACAAGTGAGTATATAATATCCTAAACCTCGTCGTAAAGGAGTGAGATGAACCCTGTCAAATGAAATAGGCTTTTGGTCGGTTCCTGCTGGCAACTCCACTGTATTTTCTTTATGGCATTTTCTTACAGATAGGGATCACTGTACATAATATGCTATGTGAATCTAGTTACATATGAAGTTTATGAATGATTCAATGGACAATAAAAAGTGGATATGTGTTTTGTTTCAGCTCTGTTGTGGTCATTGTTTCGAAAGGAAGACTTTATCACAAAGGTCCATGGGTTAAAGTGTTGAGAAGGCTTGGAGCAGATGTTGATCTAAAACTAAAAGGTGAGAATTGTTCGGCTATTTCAGTATCTTATACCAATAGAATGCTTAGATGACATAAAACAAAATGAGTCATCACAAGCTTGAAGGAATTGTAAACCATAAATGGTCACTTAAAAGTTCTCCATTATGGAGTAGAAATATGAAAACCTCTTTCCTCAAGTTTCAAATTTTTGCTGCTGCCTGCAGGTAATTTAAGTAAAGTACAGTTAATTAAAGTAATGCCAGCAGCTGCTCTTCTCCTCCTTCCCTTCCCTTCCTTGATCACTTTGACATAAACATCAATGTTTAGCTGAGCCAAATATTCATGTTTATAGATCCCCTGGCTGATGCAAATTAGACTGTCCTAAAAAGTCTATGGGCACCTTTGATTGGATACCTATGTAGAGGATGCAGACAAGTGTGTGAAACATTTGATAGGGACCAGTGAACAGATGCCGTTAATAATAACTCGCAATTGGGTAGATAGAAATTTAGTGTGACACATCTAGCCTATCATTATTTTTCCCAAGTATCTAAGGTCTTTTCAGATGCCACATCAAAAAATCACACAGATACATAATTGTTTATAGGGATGCACCGATACCGATACTAGTATCGGTATCGGTGCCCATACTGAGTATTTGGGCGGGTACTGGAACTGCTGATCAGAGGGAGATTTCCTCTGACCGGCATTGCCACAGGGAAACATGGAGCCGGCTTCCCGGGCAATCAGGAAGCCGGGCTGGGTGGCGAGTAATGACCCGCCTCCTGGCTTCCTGATTGGCTGGGAAGCCGGCTCCATGGTGACTGGCTGGGAAGCCGGCTTCCTGGCAAATCAGCATCAATAAGTGTTCACAATTTTAAGATCCTGTTGCCAGTTTGGATGGAACAGTGTCACGAATAGGTGGGGAATCTCTCATGGGGTGGCTGTATCTGACTTGGGAACCAGTAGGAACCCAGGGAATAGAGTATGTGCAGAGATTGCAGAGGTTATGTTAGCAGGTACAGCTTAAATATTTACCTACCTGTAGCATTAAAAGAAGTAGCCACACAGACCCTGCTCCAAACTTTAAATAACATTGTTACAGAAGGCACCTACGGATAGGGAAGGTGGTAATAATGAAAAGTGACTGATAAATAAGTTTATGATAAATAGTAATGTAAATTTACAATTTTTTTTCTTTTGTTTGCAGATAAATTAGCTTTTGTTGGCTATAAAGGACATTTCCGACCAGTCTGGACCAAACTGGTTACTAACGCTGAAGCTGCAAAGATTTATCAGGTTGTCCCCTATCCTGTGGAGAAGAAGATGAAATTATGAAGCCGATAGGAGGAGCTTTTATCACTGTTATCACTGCCAGGCCTGGGAGCTCTGGAGGCTCTGAAAAGAGACACCAGAATGCACAATGTTTCCTCCTGCTGACCTTACAGACTGTGCTTGTGCTGCACACAGTGTAATAGGGTACCGTAGACACAGTGCCCATGGCTTTTTCGTGTTTTATCAAGCCAAGTATTTGTGTGCTTGGCACTGTCCTATTGTGGTGGAAAATTTGACCTTGTCCTTAGCACATAGAGTATTTGATCCCATTTTGTCTCTGTGTCGGGGTCACTGTTCTAATACATATTTTCCCTAGATTACCTATTTTAACTCACTACTAACAAAAGTGTTTACTTCGTCACACACTCATGCTAGTGACATTTGTTTATGTGGTCATAGAGTTATTCAGGTTTAGAATGATTGTTTGCATCAAACAGGCTTTCCAAGATATATAGTATATGTAACTCCTGAATCCTCTACTCAAGAAACACAATCCTCTCTCCAAACAATTGTGTGTTGAGATTTGGATGCCAACTTGGAGTGTTCACAATTATGTCTAAAGAGAGCATGATCCTAATCTCATATGATTTATGAAAACTGGGGCCAAATGAGAGGACTATCGCTGTCTATAGCAATCAACAAGGTTTTTGTTTTCTAGCAATAACTGAAAAAAACAAACTTGGAATTTGCTGGGTTGCTATGGATAATGATTACACATTTAATATCTCCAACTCTCACTATTTGCTGTGGTGTGTACTCTATAGTGGTACTAAAATCCAAAGTAACATTTAGTAATCTGGTAAAACTGATATAACAGATTATTGAAAACTGGAGAAAGAGTGAAGGAGGCCCATAACAATGGGGTAAGCTTAACTGCTTTATAAAAGTCACCGTTTGTGAAATCTGATTGTCTGTTATAGACAACGCAGCCACTTTTCTCCAGTTTTTCTCCAGTGCTAAATCAGTTCCAAATATTTTGTTTTTTATCTTGTAGTAAGTATAGACAGTCTTATTTTATTGGCCAATGCTGTACAAGGTAAGGCTAGAAAATCATGTCAAGTTTATTAACAGTTCAAAAAAAATCTTTTTTTATAATAATAATAATAACACAACCAAAATGACAATCGGAGAGTTAGTTTATATTTTGTCAAGCTACAAGTGTTTTTTTATGTGCAGACTTTATTTCATATTACTTGTAATGAAGCAGACTATTCCTTATCACTGAACACACACTACAATCTTCCATTTTGCATCCCTGTAGCAGATTTCAGCAGTCATATTGATTACTTCACTGCAATGTTAGCTTTAGAAGTCATGTTAAAATGGTTCTTTGCTACTAAAGGGTTACCAGGCTTTTTTTCCAACACCTGAAACCAGGTAAAGGTTGTCTCTTGTCAACTCTCCCCATGGTGCTAGGCAAAATTGTTACTGCTCTGATTGACTCTCTTGAAGGACAGCGATAGTTAACATTTTTTATAGGAAATCTTCATTGGTGTACATTAAAGGCGATATGTTTCTATTTATTGTTTTTGTTTTTTTATGCATTGTGCTGTATCAAACCATCTGAATTACTGAATCTATTTGCCATAATCTTGTAATAATCTATTGACAAGATTATATAGCAGATTTTTAATTAATAATATTCACTCCCAGAATGATTAAGACCATGAAAAATAGTGAAAACTAGTAAGCATGAGGAAAAACTGCATCAAATAGAAAAGGTGTTTCTTTAAGGATGTCGCAGCCTCCAAAGTGAGACTTTAAGTATCAGCAGCAGAGCTAGGCTGCACCTCTCTGACTTACTATGGATGACTAGTGGTGCAATGGCACTGTGGTCAGCTGATCAAATAAAAACTTAACAGTGGACCCATAGAGGTAGGGCAGCCAAAAACATGAGCATAGACCAAAAGGAAAATGATTCAGAGCCTTTAAGTATAGCTGGGAAGATATTCTGATGTCATCAATTAAACTGCAGCACATTGCCATAAAAACAGCAAAAAAACATAAAATAATATATAACACACATTTTGTAGTTAATTTACTAATTGAGTAGAGGCTGTAAGTGGTTCAAAGGGTTTGTTTACTTGGTGTACTAGATAACGTGAAGTTGTGTTCACTTTGAATAACTAATAAAATAAAAAAAAAGGATTTTTGCTTGAAAATGATTGGGTGATGATAACCGCCTAGTAAATCAACCGTACTGTCTTTATTATGCACCAATGAATCTGTCATAAATGCAAATTGAATGAGTTGTCTACTAAGCACATGTAAGCTGCTGCTAATACAGTCCAAAAAGAGAAAGAAAGAGATCTGCAGCTGTTTCCAGAGATACCTTGGTTAACTTGTTGTCCCTTTCAGCCTTTAAAACCCTTTGTTTACTAAAATGCCAGTAAACAAAGCTTCCATTGACTGCCATCAATGTTATTAGATTACAAAATGCCCATCTTTATAAATGTTACTGCTCTTTTGGCTTATTATAGTCATAACGACTAGGTGCTTTGCACTATTAGATGGTTTCTTTTGGTTTAGAAATGGTTGGCCCTACCTAAAGTGGTATTATAGCATTAGCTAGAATAATGCTAGTGGGTTGAATATCTCATCAGGCTTTTATATGTCTTGGAAACCTTGGCAGCAAGACATCTGTACTCGAGTTCCAATCTGCTGCAGCCTTTTAGTCTGATGGAGTTTTTAATTTATTATAAGGAAGAGAAAACTTCATGACATGACTGGTGACTCTAATAGTTAAATTAGAGAGAGACATAAAGCAAGTGGCTGATTCAGCCCACCAGCATCCAGTAATAACCAATTTCCAGTTTTGGATGGACGGACAGTTTAGATCACTTCAAATCATCGTAGTCACCTAGTTTTAGAAAAGTTTGACGTGGACACATTCATTATGCCCCAACAAGCTTTGCTAGATGGACGTTACAGACAAACCGCAATGCATATTAATCCATACCTGACGTATTCTTTTCTGGTACAGAATCTCAATGTTTTACAGTACAGTCCTCTTGTATGTTATTTGC